ATCTGAAGCCTCTTCTGGCTTGAGAGACACCTTCCTCTCCATCAACAATTTCCTCCGCTCCATGGAAGAGAACTGTTTTTCATGTTGCTTTGTGAGAAATCGATCAGAGTATGCCTGCCCCTTTCTCTTTGGAGTTCTGCTGCTTTGGCCTTCAGAAGGGTTTCTTTGCCTCTTAGTTGTCATCCTACAGATAAGAGAAGTTAATCACCAAAATGTGGAGAATTAATACAAAAAAATTAAGCAAAATGGATGGTCGCACTGGGCGCATAAGCAAGCGCGTTGAGCGCAAAAAGACATATTAAGTCTCTTCCTGAAATGTGCTTAGCGCACAAGCCAGCGCGCTTAGCGCAAAAGGGATAATGCATCTCTGTCAAGAGCGCGCTGCGCGCACAGGCAAGCGCGTTGCGCGCGTACAACAAACACCAAAATACATAAAAATGTAGGGCGCTGAGCGCGAAGGGGAACGCGCAAGGCGCGCTGCAAGTTATCTTCCAAAAAGATGAAGATGCGCTGAGCACGTACTCATCCCGCTCAGTGCGCTGCTAACTTTCAGGCCAAAAAATTGAAATAGAGCAACACGAAAACAACGAAGAACTACTCGAGTGGACGAACATTAATCGCCCCATGCAAATAAAACAAAAAACAACAACAAAGAAGGGAATGCATAGAAAAATGAACATCGAAAGCAAATCTAAACAAGAAGCAGTGGAGAAACCTTACTTGATTGGGCGGATTGAGAGCAAGAATGTGTTATGTAGGCTCAGAAGAAGGAAAAAGTAGTGTAGAAAGGTGTAGAGAGGGGTAGGGTTTTGGCACGAGAGAGAATGTGAAGGAGGAGAGTGAATGGGTACAAATGAAGTCCCTTCCCTCTCGCGCCCCTTCAAATTCATAAAGTACGCGCTTAGCACGAGTGGTTGCGCGCTGGGCGCACTTGGACTTTTAGAATTCCTTTTATAAAAGGAGTGTTTGGCGAGCAAGAGCACGCGCTGAGCGCTTTCTTGGCAGAGACTTGAGCCCATAAAAACTTGACAATTGCGCTCAGCGCGCTTGGACACGCGCTCAGCACCTCGAAGACAGAGACTCCCCCTCTTAAATTCGCTGAGCGGGCTCAGTTGCGCGCTTGGCGCATTTTTGGTGTTGTTGTCATTGGAAGTGGCGCGCTTGGCGCCTTGTGATGCGCTTGGCGAGAAGAAAACAATGAGCTCCAGTGGTGTCCGCGCCGGGCGCGAGTTTAGTTTAGCCCAATTTCCCTATGTCTCCAAAACTGAGTTTCTCATCCTTTCCATTTGCAAAAAAAATTGAATCCTACTCTCAAAACTACCTATAACTAGTTTCTCGGTCTAACTAACACCTACCAACCTAACAATGCAAAACACCAGTCAAAACATAAACATACACACTATCAGACATGCAATTAAATGAAAACTTAAACACATAAAAGTTCAGATCATTTGGATTGCCTTCCAGGAAGCGCTTGTTTAACGTCACGAGCTTGACGACCTCTTTTGATCCACTATGGGTCGCTAAGCTCAAGCTTAGCAATCAGCCTTTCAAAATCTCCACCAAGATAAGGCTTCAATCGCTGCCCATTAACCATCCAACTTCTTTTGGAAGTAGGGTCTTCAATTTCAACTACTCCATAGGGCTTAACCTCCTTGATAACAAAGGGTCCGGACCACTTCGATCGAAGTTTTCCAGGGAACAATTTCAACCTGGAGTTAAATAATAACACAGATTGGCCTGGTCGGAAATCCCTCTTCAAGATTTTCTTATCATGATAAGCTTTCACACGTTCTTTGTACTGCCTTGAGGACTGATAAGCATTGAGTCTCATTTCCTCTAATTCATGAAGCTGTGACTTTCTCTTCTCCCCACAAGACTTCGGGTCAAAATTTAGAAGTTTCAATGCCCAGAAGGCTTTGTGTTCTAGCTCCACCGGGAGGTGACATGCCTTACCGTACACCAACTGGAATGGTGATAGAGATGTTGGTGTCTTAAAAGCTGTTCTATATCCCCATAAAGCCTCGTCAAGTTTGCTAGCCCAATCTTTTCTAGAAGTGGCAATTGTCTTTTCTAGAATCCTCTTGATTTCTCTGTTAGACACTTCTGCTTGTCCATTGGTCTGAGGATGGTAAGCTGTTGCCACTTTATGTCTCACCCCATAATGTTCTAAGGCCTTCTTGAGCTGAGCATTGCAAAAATGAGATCCTCCATCACTGATCAGAACTCTGGGCGTACCAAACCTGCAGAAAATATTCTTCTTAAGGAATTTGATTACTGTTTTAGCATCCGCTTTTTGTGTTGGGATAGCCTCTACCCATCTAGATACATATTCCACTGCCAGAAGGATGTACTCATTGGAAAATGAAGTTGGTAAAGGGCCTATAAAGTCAATCCCCCAGCAATCAAAAACTTCCACTTCTTGAATGTTCTGCAATGGCATCTCATGTCTCTTGGAGATAGTTCCACTCCTTTGACAGCTATCACATCTCTGTACATATTCATGGGCATCCTTGAATAAGGTAGGCCAAAAGAACCCAGACTGGAGGACCTTAGCTGCTGTCCTTTCCCCATTAAAATGGCCTCCGTAGGGTGAGTTGTGGCAATGCCATAGAATGTCTTTGGCCTCCTCTTTTGTAACACACCGTCTCAACAGATTGTCAGCTCCAATCTTGAACAAATGAGGATCATCCCACACATACAACTTGGCATCATTAATCATTTTTTTTCTTTGGTGCCAATTTAGATCCTCAGGGATGACTCCAGCAGCTTTAAAATTAGCCATGTCTGCAAACCATGGCCTTTCTTGGATTGACAAGAGTTTTTCATCCAGGAATTCCTCTGATAGCTCTGGTTCTAGTGTAGTCACCTCATTGTTCACTAGTCGAGAGAGATGGTCTGCTACATTGTTTTCACAGCCTTTCTTGTCCTTGATTTCTAAATCGAACTCCTGTAACAAAAGTATCCACCTTATTAGCCTAGGTTTGGAGTCAGACTTAGTTAACAAATATTTAATTGCAGCATGATCAGTGAAAACAATAATTTTTGAACCAATCAGATACGCTCTGAATTTTTCCAGTGCATATACTATGGCAAGAAGTTCTTTTTTAGTTGTAGCATAATTAGCTTGAGTGTCATTTAAAACTTTACTTGCATAGTGTATCACATGGAAAACTTTCTCTTTTCTTTGACCTAGCACTGCTCCTATAGCATAATCATTGGCATCACACATAAGTTCAAAACCAAATTGCCAGTTAGGAGCAGTGATCATTGGTGCAGAAATGAGTTTGTTTTTTAAGGTCTCAAAAGCAGATAAACATCTTGCATCAAATTTAAACGGTGTATCCTTATTTAGCAAGTTTCTCAATGGTTTTGCAATCTTGGAGAAATCCTCGATGAATCTCCTGTAGAACCCAACATGTCCTAAGAAGCTTCTGATTCCTTTAACGTTGACTGGTGGGGGTAGTTTCTCAATGACTTCAATTTTTGCTTTGTCTACCTCAATCCCCCTGCAAGAAATCTTGTGGCCTAAGACAATGCCTTCAGTCACCATGAAGTGACATTTCTCCCAATTGAGCACCAAATTGGTTTCCACACACCGCTTCAGTACGGTGTCTAAATTGCCCAAGCATGTATCAAAAGAAGACCCAAAAACTGAGAAGTCATCCATGAAAACTTCAATGCATTTTTCCACCAAGTCAAAGAAGATAGCAAGCATGCACCGTTGAAACGTAGCTGGAGCATTACACAACCCAAATGGCATTTTCCTGTAAGCAAAAACACCAAAAGGGCATGTGAAGGCTGTTTTCTCTTGATCCTCTAGATCCACTACAATCTGATTATAACCTGAAAATCCGTCCAGAAAGCAATAGTATGCTTGCCCCGCTAACCGTTCCAACATTTGATCCATGAAGGGCAAAGGGAAGTGATCTTTTCTTGTGGCCTTGTTCAATTTCCTGTAGTCTATACACATCCTCCAACCTATGACAGTCCTTGTGGGGATCAATTCATTCTTTTCATTGTGGATTACAGTCATCCCACCCTTCTTAGGAACTACTTGCACAGGACTGACCCACGCACTGTCTGAGATAGGATAGATCATCCCTGCCTCCAACAATTTTTGAACCTCCTTCTTTACAACTTCTTTCATGGTTGGGTTCAAACGCCTCTGAGGTTGAGCTACAGGCCTATAGTCTTGCTCCATGTGAATTTTGTGCATGCAATAAGAAGGACTAATGCCTTTCAAATCAGATAAGGTCCAACCTATGGCTTCTCGGTTCAGCTGTAACACCTCAATTAGCCTCTTCTCCTCATTGTCAGAAAGGGAGCTACTGATGATGACTGGTTTATTGTTACCCTCTTCAAGAAAGACATATTTAAGATGTGAAGGCAGAACTTTCAATTCTAATTTTTGCTCTTCGAACCTCAAACTCTCATGCAATTCTTCAAATTTTATATTTCTTTCAAGAACTTCTTTGGTTGAGTTCAAGCTCCTTAAGCAGGCCTCAATTTCTTTCTCTTCTTCATCATTCAAAAACTCGAAAGCTTCAATGAGGGCTTTCTCCAAAGGGCTTTGACTATGTATTTGACTTGAAGCTGTAAAGATCACATCATCAAGTATATCCACCCTTATACAATCATTTTTATCGTTGGGGTATTGCATGGCTTCAAAGACATTGAAATTCACTTCCTCATCTTGGACTCTCACTTTTAACTTTCCATCATCCACATCAATAATAACCTTGGCGGTTTTCATGAAAGGCCTACCCAGTATTAGAGGAACCTCTATGTCCTCTTCCATGTCCATTACCACAAAATCCACCGGGAACATGAACTTGTCCACCTTGACCAACACATCCTCCACCACTCCATGAGGATATTTAATTGATCTATCAGCCAACTGTAATGTCATCCGAGTAGGTCTAGCCTCCAAATCTCCTATCCTTCTCATCATAGACAAGGGCATCAAGTTAATGTTGGCCCCTAAGTCCAACAAGGCTTTACCCACAGGTAAAGTACCTATGGTTACAGGGATTGTGAAACCTTGCAAATTGCCTCTCTTTGTCTTTTCTTGAAGGAGCATGTGGGTATGGAAGATTCTTTGTAGGTGGGGCTTTCCCAACTTCCTTCTTAATCTTTTTTTTCTTTTTCTCTATTTCTCCACTCACTCTCTTATTCTCCACCTCTTCCACTACACTCTCATCATTGTCTTCTGCTCCGCTATTTTCTTTCATCACATTTTCTTGTCTATCATTTTGATTATTCTCTCCAAACTTCTTCCCACTTCTTGTAGACACAACCTTACAATGCTCCTTGGGATTTGTTTGTGTATTAGTAGAGAACGATCCGCTTTGCTGGTCTGCTAACTGTTTGGCCAATTGTCCCACTTGCACCTCCAAATTTCTAATTGAAGCATCTGTATTCTTTTGGTTTTGGAGGGATAATTGCATAAATTGCTGCAAGGTATCTTCTAGCTTGGTAGTTCTTTCATACAACTGTGGATGTTGTTGTTGTGGAGGGTGAAGTCTACTACTTGATGCACCCATGTCTTGTTTCCCTCCAAATTGAGCATTATTGTTTCTCCACCCTTGGTTATAAGAACTAGGATAAGGATTGTTAATGAAATTTTGGCGTCCTTGGTTCCCCATATAATTGACTTCTTCACCTTGGGAGCCACTAGGAGCTTGACAATTTCCATTGGAATGATCACCTCCACAAAAATCACACCGCATAACTTGTTGAGTTTGGCAAGGGTTAGCATGCATGGCTTGGAGTTGTTGAGGTAATTTAGCCATTTGTTGATTGAGAGCTTCGATTTGTTGAGTAAGAAGCTTATGTTGAGCTAAGAGGGCATCTTGAGTGCTTAATTCTAATACTCCCCTCCTTTGTGCTTGACCCCTCCCATGTTGGCTTCGCAAGTTAGTAGATGCCATAGACTCAATGATTGTGATAGTTTCATCGGCAGTCTTGAACAAAACAGAGCCACCAAAAGAAGCATCCAAAATCATCTTTGTTTGTGGTTGTAAACCATTGCAAAAAGTCTGAACTTGCATCTCTATATCAAAACCATGATTGAGACACTTCATAAGCAAAGCTTTATATCTCTCCCATGCCTCACATAAGGATTCATCAACTCCTTGCACAAATGTAGCAATAGCGGCCTTGGCCTCCGTATTCTTGGATGGTGGGAAGAAACGAGTTAGAAATTTTGTCTCCACATCCCTCCAACTGGTTAGACTTTGGTTAGGCTGTGATTGAAGCCAAGCCTTGGCCTTCCCAGTGAGAGAAAATGGAAATAACCTCATGAACAAAGCCTCTTCGTCATCTCCAGAAATTCCAACTGAGCCACACAACTCATAGAAGGTGTACAAATAAGTATGTGGGTTTTCATGATCCAACCCGGCAAACTGATGAGAGCTTATAAGTTGCAAGAGGGCTGGCTTCATTTCACCAATCTTCTCGTTCATAGTAGGCCTCACCATGCTAGAGAAATTTCGGGGGCTGGTATATAGAATAGAATCCCCAATAGTTCTCCTTGGAGGTTGATTAAATGGATTATGATGCTCTTCTTCAGCCATTTCTCCTTCTGCAGCTAGATCGAAATGTTGAGTAGTGATAGTTTGAGAGGATGAAGTTTGGGGGGGGACTTGTTGATTTAGTAGCCTCTGTCTTCTTGTGTTGCTATTGTTTCTCCTGACTATTTTCTCAATCTCTGGATCACTAAGCAAAGGTTCCGAAGAAATGACCCGTCTTGTTCGGATAGTACCTTGCATACACAAGAACACACAAGATACTAGAGCAACAAGTTAGCCCACAAATAAAATAAAATAAAGTAAAATAAAATATTGGCTGACAAGAAAGAAAATTCAAGAATAAAAAAAGGAGTCTAGTATAGCTATAATTGCACAATTGCCTTGTATTGAGACACAAGTCCCCAGCAATGGCGCCAAAAACTTGTTAAACGATTTCTTCCAATATGGCAAGCGAACCAATCGCACAAGTAGTAAGTAGAAGTAATAGTTGTTCTTCCCAAAGGACTTGAGTAATACAGTGGAAATATGTGGAATTTAAGCTAATACAGACTAAAGAATGATTTCATATTTGGTTGATTGTAATTTTTAATCTAAAAAGAGCAAAATGAACCAAAGTGAACTTTCATCAAACACTTGAAATGAGGTTTCAGAGATTTACTTATATGAATGAAATGTTAGGGTTAGACTTCACCAACTTTAATCTCATGCATGAAAAACATTCTTTCTCATTCAAACATTAATGCTAGCCCACTAATATTCTCAAATTCCAATTCCTTGGTTAAAAGAGCCTAAGTTTCATTACCAAATATCAATCCCTTGAATATTTCAATAAATCCACTTGCATTAAGTTTAAGGGCTCCAAACAACAAGTAACTCATGTTCCATTCCTAGACACAAGTTTACAAGGTACCACATTCTCAAACAAGATTACCAATGATATTCCCACACCAAAAGTAATCACAAATCATGTAATAGTTGATCATTCCATACAAGCATTAAGCACAAGAACATGATACTAACATTTGAATGAAGAAGATAGATATATATATATATATATATATTCAAACAAGCTACATGAGAGTCAAGTTGGCTACATCTAACCCCAACAAAGGGGTTTTAGCAATCCATGTCCATGAGATTAGCAAGATACATCAAAAGAGTAAGAATGGAAGAAAACCAATGAGAAACAATGGTGAAGAGATGAGCCCTAGCTTCTCCCTTTCAGACCTGCGTTCTGCTCCTCGTTTGGTTCTGCTTCCAGCATGATTTCTTCACGCTCAGCTCGAAATTATATCCATCTATGCAAATCTTTAAGTGACACGCTCAGCACGCTACGATACGCGCTTGGTGCATGACGAAAGGCGCGCTGGGCGCATGATTGGGCACGCCCAGCGCGGTGCCAATTCTCCATCAACTCCCTGATCCAGCGTGCTGAGCGAGTTGAGCTATGGGCTCAGCGCGGGTCTACTGAAAATGCCAGCTAGCTTCATTGGAGTTCAATCCAGCTTCTTCTCTTTGACATGGCTTCTTCCAACATGATTACCTATCCAAAAAATCACAAAAAATGAGGATTAATTATGTATAACCCTGTATGTGTAACCAAAGTGTCTTTACTTACAAAAGAGAAGTTAAATTGAGGATTACATAAGTCAAAAGTTAGAAAAGAGTTGAATGTGTTAACAAATTTGGTACTAGAATGTAAGTAAAAATTAACATTATCATGGTTCGGTCTGGTTTTAAATTCAATTCGGTTATTTTGATTTTTTTGAACACCCTACTTGGGGATCCATGAACCTTAAACTATAGCTAGGGACTTTAATTTAATCCTTTGTAGTTACAAGTGGAGTGGAGGGTGCTCCCACCCCTCTTATAGGGGATCTCTTGAGTTTCAGGAATGCATGGATAATTACAATCTTATTGACCTAGGATTTCAAGGGCCTCCGTTTACGTGGCAGTGGGGTAATTTGAGCAAGAGGTTAGATAAGGTGATGGCCAACCTATAGTGGCATTTGAGATTTCACAATGTTGTCATGTTCCACCTCCCATTTTTCAAGTTGGACCATAGACTATTATGCATTAAGCTCTCCAAGGATCGTGGCAAAACTCGTAGAAGGAGACCGTTCCATTTTTTGGCTGCTTGGGTGTTACACGAGGACTTTGACAGAGTATTGAGAAAAATGTAACATGTTGGGGGATCTTGGAATGTTTAGATCCAACATACACAAGCAACCTTGTAATAATGGAATAAGGACATTTATGGTGACATCTTTATAAGGAAGAGACTTCTCAAGAAGTAACTTGTTGATCTAAGTCATGAGTTAGGGAACTAGTCCTCTTCATACCTAGATCAACTGATTAGTGAGGTATGGAGGGAATATGACCTGAAGTTACGCCACGAAGAGTTGCTTTGGTTTCAAAAGTCTAGAATCAAATGTATGTGATGCTCTCTAGCAAGAGAATGAGGTTTGGGTGGCTAAGGTGTTTAAGTTGGAGAACATAAAAATATCTTTCTATAAAAAAACCTTTTTACTAATAATGAGCATTTTCAATCACCTTGTTTAAGAAATGCGTTCCTCACCCTGGATATAAAGCAACTCAAGGAGATTGGGAAGAATGTAGTGGATGAAGAATTTTGGCAAGTAAAGCCCCCTGAGTGACTGGCCTTCAAGAAAATCTAATAAAACTCAATGGGTTGTGGTGGGGGAGAGATTTTGTGAGCTTGTTAAAGATACTTTTGATAATCTTTCAAGGATTAAGAAGCTCAATGAAACCATGCTTGTTCTTATTCTCAAATTGGATAATGTGGTGAATATCAAACATTTTTTACCCATCAGCCTATGTAATGTGTCCTATAAGACCATTACAAAGATTTTAGCTACGAGATTACAGGCTATGATGGAAGGGCTAGTGGGATCGTGTCAATGTATTTTTGTCCCAAGACGTCAGACTAGAGATAATGTTATTGTGGCACAAGAGGTAATTCACTCAATGCATCATAAGAAGGGGAAGGTGGGGCGGATGGCAATAAATATTGACCTAGAAAAAGCTTATGATAGACTTAAATGGGCCTTTGTGAAGGAGACCTTGATGGAGATTGGTCTCTCGACCAACATCATCTATTTGGTTTGGTAGTGCATCTTAATGTTTAATGTGCGAGTTCTTTAGAATGTGGGTTTTGGAACCTTTCAACCCATTGAGGCATCCATCAAGGAGACCCATTATCGCCTTTATTGTTTGTTTTATGCATCAAAAGACTATTCCATAGTATCAATTTAGCGGTTAGTCAAAATAGATGGAAACCTATTATGTTATCTATAGAGGGACTTGAGATTTCTTATTTGGCATTCATAGATGATGTATTGCTTTTTGTAGAGGCCATAGTGCAATTTGGGAGATAATCCAATGTTTTTTGTGATAACTCTAACTAATGGGTGAGTCAGGATAAGTCCAAAGTGTTCTTCTTTGACAATGTTGGCTAATAGGTGTGGTAATAGGTAGCATAGGAAATGAGTTTCACTATTACAAGTGACTTGGGTAAGTACTAAGTGTGCCCTTATTCCACAAGCAACCCAACAAAGGCTCATTGTAGTTTGTTCTAGATAAGGTTAGTTAGTGACTTCTGGAAGTGAAAACAGTTATATTTGGTACGTAGAGTCACACTATCAAAATCTGTTACTCGAGCCATGCCTCAATATGTTATGCAATCAACTTTTATACCTCATGTTGTTTGTGATGCGGTAGACAAGAAGTGTTGTGATTTCATTTGGGGAGACGTAGGAGAGGAGAGGCACATGCACTTGATTGATTGGCAAACTATATGCTTACCAAAGAAAGTTGGCAGATTGGGACTCTATGTAGTTAGTGTAATGGTCTAAACACACTAAAATGAGAGGGATTCCAAGATTTGTACAAATGTGAGTCCGTTTAATTGAAAATGACTTAAAGAATAAATTTGTACTACCTATTCTAACAAAATGCATCTTTTTTCAGTTTTTAATTACTTAAGAACCTAACAAAATGCATCTTTTTTCGGTATTCCAACAAGTGTTGTGTTTTAAAACAAATTTAATACTAGTATTTTAGTTTGTGTATTTTATAGGCTAAACATGTATTATATATAATTAAAATTTACAATAAGTGTTATAAATAAATTTTATAACAAGTTAGTAGAAAGGTAGAAAAAGAACAAATAATAAATAATAAATAGCGAAAAGCAGAGCAATGAGAGAGTGACACGTAGGAGAGGTTTTGTTTGGAAGCTCACACCAATCAATGAAAGGGAAGGTTGTTCCATGCGGGGACATTCTGGTTGAGATCTGCACACGTGGCACATTTTTAGCGGAGGACCGTGGCCAATGCGTGACCGTTAATACTTTCAGTTTTTGTGGCCAAATTTAACATTACTTTAACCACTTTCAAAATTCCCGCTAACATTGTCATCTTCTCCTTTTGGCGCCTTCCCTTTACTAATACTACTGCCCATCTCTCTCAAATAACTTCCAAAATTCACTCAACTTTTTTAATCCTTTTCTTTTATATATCTATTAAATCAATAGTTCCAAATTCCTTTCTACCAGATCTTTTTTTATTTCTATATAGTTATAGTTTTAATTTATGATAAATAAATATTTTTTTAATTATTAATAATTAATTTTAAAACATTAAAATTTAATTTATAAACATAACTTATATATTTAAACATAACATATATTTATATATAATTTATCATAAATTTTAATTATGTATAATAAACATGTGTGTATATTCCACATACTAAAATTTTAGTATAAAAGTTAATTTCAAAATGAGTCGATTTTTAACATTTTAAAACAAATATTTCAGAACAAATTTAATATTCAAAATTGAATGTTTCGAAATATATCGCAATATTTAAAAAAAAAATGATAGGTCTACTTAGCAATATATACGGTGTAGGAAGAAAATCGGTGAAGCCTAATACTCGGCCCAAAATAATAAAAGCTCTTAAACCCTTGTGAGTTAGAAGAGAGCGAGAGAAAAAAAAATAATGGGGGCGAAGAAGCACGGTGAGGGTAACGGCACCAACAGTGATGTATTTGCTTCATGTTCCTTCTCTAGCCTTGGCCTTGATTCCAATTTATGTGACCAACTTCGCGGTAATTTTTTTTTCTTTCTCTCTTTTAATTTGTTATTGATTTTTAGTTCGTCTATTGAGAGTGTGAAACATTTTTTGTTTGTTTACAGAGAGGTTGGGATTTGAAGTTCCGACGCTGGTGCAAGCTCAAGCAATTCCTATTATTCTCTCGGGGCGTCATGCGTATCCTTTTTTTTTTGTGCTTCGTGCTGTGACAAATTTTTTTTATAACGTTAATTGTTTTGTTCGTGTGTTGGGTTCTTTAATGAAGATTTTAGACTTGTAAATGCTGCCACGGGAACGGGGAAAACTGTTGCGTATTTGGCTCCAATCATTCATCACTTGCAGAGTTATGATAATCGGATTCAGCGCTCAGATGGAACATTTGGTGCGTTTTTTTTTTTTTTTTTTTTAATTCTGTTTGGTTCCTATGTGTAATTACTTTTTCACAAAATGGCCTGTTTGGTCAGGTTCTCCTCACCTATATTATTTGAGAATGATAATGTTTTTTGGATGTAATGATAATAGTTACTTTGGATTTGTTTTTAAAGAATTGAAGTCATTACTTAGTTTGAACTTCAATTGTCTCTCCCAAAACGAAAAACTTGGGTTGTTAGGTATGCTAGGGCCCTTTGACCTTGAATCGTAGACAATGTACATACCCACCTCACCTTTAGAAATCTTATTCCACTAGGCGAGGTTGGCAATATGAATTATATGACATCATGGAGCTAGTTAAAGACTGAATTCTCATGATATTATTTACTATGAGATTCATCTTAATAATTTCCTCTAATGGCTTTATTGGTCTCCCTTTACCCCTTTTACCGGGCTAAAAACCATGCTTCCAAACTTTGCTTTTAAATTCAACTTTTTCTATCATAAGAATGAGAATGGAAAGGATTGAACTCTTGATTATATGTCAATTAACAACTATCCCACAAGCTTAAAATGTTAAATGAAGACAAATTCACTATTTTCTTTAATATCAAAAGTAATGCATTGTCAAAATGTATGTTGAGCTTTATTCATGAAAGTATTGTTGAACATATCAATTTTACTGTTTTAAAGAGTCAAAGTATATTATTTCCTTTCTTGTTATGGCAAGTTCATCTCATATTAATCATAAGTTTAATTGATTTACTGGCAATAGCGTTGGTTCTTGTACCGACGCGCGAGCTATGTTTGCAGGTTTATGAAATTCTTCAAAAGTTATTGCATCGGTTTCATTGGATTGTTCCTGGATATATTATGGGAGGTGAAAATAGATCAAAGGAGAAAGCTAGGTTGCGCAAAGGTAGAAATCGTGTGTATTCTTCACACATACCCCTTTTCTAACTTTATCTTTGAACTTTGTTTTCTAGTTGTTCAACAATAAAGTATCTTTTTGGAGGTTTTAAAGAATTTGTCAATCACAGAAAAGCTATGTCATCATAACAAACAGCTATGGGGGTTGTACTTTCTCTTGTCTGAAGCTAAAAGTATGACTTTTATTCTGTTATCGATTGCAGAAAATGGCAGAAAGCCAATAATCTGCTATATCATATAGTGAAAAGCATCTTGGGGAAATAGTGGATGTTTCATGGAAGTTAAAATGTGATATACATTAATTATATATTATAAAAATGAAAGTTGTATGCAAGCATAAATAAAATTCATAAAAATTGACATAATATTAACTCAAAAGTTCAATTAGTTGTAGACTTGGTAGAGATGACTAGAGGATGTAGGATACATGCCGCAAACATGACACCATAGCAGCTGCTACAGCAGGTGGAGTCATGATTGCAGATTCAAGAAATTTCACCATGCAATAGTGTTATAGTACCGCTACAGGAGCAATTTAATAACACTGCTTTTATTGCACTTGATCAAAATTATAACCGTTGTTGTTCCTATTGCAGGCATATCAATTCTTATAGCAACTCCTGGGCGCCTTTTAGATCACTTGAAGAACACAACATCATTCTTGTACTCAAACCTGCGCTGGATAATTTTTGATGAAGCTGATCGGTATGGTTTACGTCAATTGCTTTTCTGTCATAGAAATTAATGTGCATAGTAAATATGGTACTTTTTTCTCAATGACAATGTATTATTTTATTTTCTATATATCATCTTATGAATGAATTATATCATAAAGTATGTTTTTTGCAGGATTTTGGAATTAGGATTTGGAAAAGATATAGAGGAAATAATCGATCTTTTAGGATCAAGGAAAACAAGGCATGATGACCAAGAGAATACTGTTCCAAGACACTCTAATATTCAAAGACAGAATTTACTTTTATCTGCCACCTTAAATGAGAAAGTGAACCACCTTGCTAAAATTAGTCTAGACAATCCAGTGATGGTTGGTCTTGATGGTAAGAAAATAGAACCAATTTCAACAATTGAAAGCCTTGATCCTTCAGAGTCTGATGAAGACAATGAAGACAAGTATTCCAGTAAAGTGCCAATAGTTGGAGATTACAATGTCCCCATACAGTTGATTCAGAGATACATGAAAGGTATGCGATTATTAGAAGTTTCTCCAGCAAGCTTTCTAATTACTCGTACTATTTTAAGATCCTGAATTCCTAATTCGGTTACTATGCAGTGCCTTGTGGTTCACGGCTTCCTGTACTTCTTTCAATTCTAAAGCATCTCTTTGAAAGGGAACCTTCTCAGAAGGTAAGCCCTTACTAAGTGGTTTGCAATTAGGGTTTAGGGTTTAGGGTTTAGGGTTTAGGGTTTAGGGTTTAGGGTTTAGTATATTTTGCTCCCTATACATTCCTCTCATTTTTTTTCAGTGTGTGATATTTCTGGTGTAATTTTGTAAGAAATATGCAGATAAAGAGTAAGGACAAAAATATCTAATGGATATGGTGATATGTCATCTAGAAAATTTACTTGCCAAAAAATATCCATATTATTTTGGCTACGGGACTGGAACTTATGTTCAACGTGAATGAATCTGCATCTATCTTTCCCCTTGTTTATAAAAGTTAGTGTAAATTCAAGATATTATGCTTTATAAGTGACATAATTCATCTAATGATTCCACAGGTTGTTGTATTCTTTTCAACATGTGATGCAGTAGACTTTCACTATTCACTGTTAAGTGAATTTCAATTTTCATCTTATCCAAAAACAGAAGAAGGGACCCGACAGATGTTTATTGGATCCAAAACTTTCCGGTTACATGGTAATATGGAACAGGAGGATCGGAGAACCAGTTTCCAGACCTTTAAAACCGAGAAATCTGCTTTGCTTTTGTCCACTGATGTTTCTGCTAGAGGCTTGGATTTTCCGAAGGTTAGATGCATCATACAATATGATTCTCCTGGGGAAGCTACAGAATATGTTCATAGGTATCTACCTACCTGCTTGTTTGACTTGTTTTTTGTTTGATTTATTTGTGTGGGTGTGGAGAGGGAGGAGGGACAAGGTGTTTGTTTCATTAATGATCTCTTCTTTTTCTCATTCCTATTTTAATATAAGTAAACATGCATGGACTGGTTCCTATGGTTTTTAAGATCTATAATTTTTTGAGAGAATTGGGTTTTCATCAACTGCATTTAACAAATATGAGCAATGAAAGGACAACATGGTGCCATAAAACTCCAGCCTTTGCGGGGTTCAGGAAAGAGTCAGACCCATTAATTATGAGCAATGTGACATTCACTAAAAAGGAGTATTATTACATACTAACATCAAAATTTTCCTTTTTAACAGATAATAGTTAAATTTCTAAACATTCATTCTAATTTAACCTCAAAATACACATCAAAGTCAACACTTGTCAGAAGTTAGAGTTTGACAAATTAGTCTGGTCTATAATGGCTAGGAGTTCAACATGATAAAATGTGGTGCAAATCCAAAGTTGAATTATATAAAACATTGATGTGTAAAAACTAAATTTATAACTTTTCCATCGTTAACCTTATTGCTTTCCTTGATGTCATTCTAATATCTTAGTTTGATGTTTTTTGGTGAGTGTGTTTTAATGCCTCAGCCTCTTAAGCATTAGAGTCAATAACTATCTTATATTCCTTTCCTTTAGCATTATTATATAAGAATCATGGATAGTTAAATGATTCTTGTATCATAATTATCATTGCATGAAAATTAACATTAGAAGTTTCCTAGAAAAGGCCCATTATAAATTTGAAAATGTAAAAATCCTGCTTGTAAGCTTTTAAGCAATTTTTTTGCTTGCTTTATCCCACAATATTTTTATAACCATGAGTGAGTTGTTCTTTATTTGACTGGATATCTTATCTATATAGTAGATTCAGAGGCATCTTTGACTTCTTCCTTTATGATTAATTATAACCTTCCAATATGATTTGAAATACTATCTTATTTCTGATTTATCATGAATTCAAATATGCAGAGTTGGTAGAACTGCTCGACTGGGTGAAAGAGGAGAGTCATTGTTATTTCTGCAACCAGTTGAAATTGACTACTTACAGGACTTGGAGAAACATGGTGTCTCACTCACCGAGTATCCTGCCCTCAAAATGTTGGATAGTTTTCCACTATATGGACAAAAGAACCTCGCAAAGAAGTCTGTTTTCATTGACTCACATCCTTGGGTCCTTTGTCTCCAGAAGGCACTTGAAGCCTTCGTCACATCCAAGGTAATCCTCATCTCTGATCTTATTGAATTCTACACCTTGTTGATTGTCTTTATCTTATCTAATTGAATAATCATTCCTAAAACTCTGTTTTTTTATTGCCTTCTGACTTGGGAAACATGTCATCAAAATTTAACTATAGAATCATTGGCATTATATTTCTTAGAGTTTGTACTTTTTAAAACAATAAAACATTTCATGTTGGTTTTGTGCATCTACTAAGACATAAAACTTCCAAACCACTGATAATCAAAAAAGTTAATAGTTGGCCATAAAGTTTTATCAGGTCTTCCTCATCCTTTTAATTGGATTATCTTCCATCTGATCCAATTTCTTGCTGGAGCCTCCATTGGTCTACTTATTGTGTGACCAAATCTCCTTAGGTAAGTTTTTATCATCTTCTCATTTGCTCAGAATATTGGGGGAGTGAGACTGGGGAGCTACAGGCAAAAATGGCTCAACTTAGTGGAAGATTTAAGGAGTAAAAGAAAGGAGCCTCTCTATCTGGCATTTTGTTTTGATTGTCAGTTCTATGTCTTAGTAAGCAATAATTCTCATGTTTAATTATATTAATCAATCCCGACACACCCCAGATTTCAATTAACTCGAAATCGGATTGGGAGGGGGGGACCAAAAAGGAGTTTGATGCTAACCATGCACTCGATCAAAAAGAATGTATAAACATACATGATTCTACATGGGATTCTTTGTTGCTTCTGTCTATTCCTAAACCAAGTTTTGCCTTGTCCTTTTCAGCCCAAGATGGATGAACTTGCCAAGAAGGCATTTTGCTCTTGGGTCCGAGCATACACAGCCCATCGTGGTGAGCTGAAAAGAATATTTATGATCAAGAAACTTCACTTGGGGCACGTAGCAAAAAGCTTTGCATTGAAACAACAACCCTCCTTAGTTGGACAGTCATTCCAAAAGCAAAATAAGAAGAGAAAGATACTTGAGAAGAAGAAAAATAGGTTGCCAAAAAGGAGAAAAGTTACGAGTGTGTGACAGAATGCAGACTATGAAAGTGGCTGATGTTGCAAGTTTGATTAAACAACAAAATGATGACTATGGATGGATCCAATGAGACTGGAATCAAGATCATTATATCAACAATGCCGTTACCAAGAGACCTGAGAGGAGGTAGCATCAAGGCCTTCGGCTCTGCTAATTCAGTAGCACAAATTTCTAACCGTCACTTTAAGCCAGGTGCTAGCATGTATACTACTTTTAACTAATATTTTAGAGTGATATTTATATATAAACTATTATTTTTTTTATTTTTTTGAAAAAAGAAGAGAAGGGGCTGGGGTTAAAATTACTAGGTTTTTTTACACTCAGTGTTTAACTAATTCCTAAACATCAGCCTTACATTGGCTACTATGTGCTTATAGTTGCTTTGAAAAGTCAGTTTGTTAGCTAAGCTCGTGGTTGGGATTCTACCAATATTGCATGAAATGTTATATGGTTGACTAGAATGACACAATCATTTGGGCCAAAAGATTGGAATTAACCAGTATTGCATGAAATAATACAAGGGTATGCGGAAATAGACTAAATCTTCATATTGTTAAGGAGCTGTTTGGTTTATATTTTCTGGGAGTTTGATAGTTGGATTCCGCATGTTTCTTGGATTGTTTTTGTTTGCGAAGGAAGTTATGTGTTTGGTTTCAGAAAATATTTTCTATTTTTATTTTTAGTAAATAATTTTCATTTTCAAAATTTGAAATTTAGAAAATATGTTTTGTTTAATATTTTCAATGAAAGTTCATAAATTTTGGTTTATAACATAAAATTTATAAACAAAATTTAAATTATTTTTATTTATTGATAATTTATTTTAAAATATTAATATTTAATTCATTAATAATTTTGATAAATAAAATTGAATTAGATAAAAAGTTAAAAAGTTTCTTACAAATTCTCTTGTTAAAGAAAAGTTTCTAAAGTTACTTTCATACAAGATAAATATTTATTTTTAATATATAGGAGTTGATATATATAAAATAATGTAACAAAAGAATATAAAATAACAAAGAATTTAATGAATTAAATTATTAGTAAAATAAAAAGATCGTAAAGATAGTGATGAAACGATCTAGTTAAATAATAATTAAAATAAAGAGACAAAAAGGTAATTTTATTTCTATATAAAAAAAAAGTAGTTTCAATAGGTTATGAATCAATTTGAGGAAAAAAAGAGGAAAAAAGAATCCAACGACGCGTTTTCAGTTGAAAATGACGTTTTTATGTTTTCAAAATTTAACTGTTTTTAAAAATGTTTTCACAGAAAATATTTCTTTAAATTAAAATTAAACACATTTTCAAATTTATTTTCCCATTTCTTTTTAAATGGAAACACAAAACAGTGAAACAAAAAATAACCTAAATTATTTGCACATTCAAATGGAAAACATTATGACCATTTAATGAGAACTACGACGGGTTATAAATCATTAAATTTGTGAATGCTCTTGGTGGTATTGGAACATCAGAAGATTCAAAATTCGTATTCTGAGGTTCATTTCTGATTTTACTGTTAAAATTTAGAATAAATCATCTTTTTATCTTTCCAAAGTATTATTATCATTACTTTTTATATATATAAATATTATCTATTTATAAAAAAATGAATTGCTAACAATAGTGACTTTTTCTAGTAATGCAAACAAAAGAATGACTATCTACAGTCTATCTTTTTGAGGCTCATGTCTGCAGTTTTTTTTTAATATATTTTTTGTGAAAGTCTGCAATCTTATTTGAACTGGCATAATTCATTTTGGAGAAGTTAAATACGATAAAAACTTAAGTGCATAAATTTATTTTAACTTATGAGATAAATTCAATTTATTTTATCTTCTTTTTTCTTCTCCATAGATAGCAAATTCTTAGTTTGTAAAAGTTATTGGATACAACTACGTAATTAATTATATAATGTTGACCGAAATCAATATTTTCAATTTTCAGTTTATTTGGTTATATATCAATATTTCAATTCAATAATTATGATTTGCATTAGAGTGAATTGGTTGAGAACACTCTAAATAACGTAGAACTACAAACAATTATCCTTTCTAATCTAGTTATATTATATAAAATTTAAAACTATATATTTATATATCATTGATACACCACGGTTTGATATGATTGAACCAATAATTATAAGAATTGTTTTCATTGGTCCAATATACAACTCGTTTTTTAAAATATTGATGTAAAAAATTCATAAGTACAAAATTTATGCAAAAGATAATAGACCAGAATAATAATATTTTATACAATTAAAGAACTGAATTAGTGACAACATATTTGTTCCGAGCCTGAGCTAGTCTGCAATTTTCATTGCAATCACAAACCATTGTGATTTAGAATGTACGTAGAGTGGCAATGCCATAAGAATTCGATTAATGGAGAGTAATTTAATTTGTACGAGTTTATAGCTTCAGATGTTGTCACATTTCTATAAATAACAAAAAAACTGAATTGTACTTTTTTCTATTCATCTTGTATATTTTTATAAATTTTGTTCACTTAACTATTAAAATTGTGCTTTTTGTCACCAAATTTTTAAATTTACATATTTTATCACATTATTAGTTGAGTGCTAACATAATACATTGATTATTAATGTGATATGTTGACAACTAATATAAAATGTCGAATACTAATAAGAAGTGCAATTAAACTTTAAAAAAGAAAATGTGTGGGATATGTCTGTTGAGAAGACGTTGGGTAGATGAGTCCTTAACACTAAAAGGATTTATTTGGACTTACCTTGTTTGCATTGTTATTTCCTAAATTGTAACAACATATGGCAATGGCATGCTTCTTGTTTCTTGGACATCCGTGCAAGGAAATGAGATTGGTACCATCCCTTGAAGCCTAGAAGCATAGGGTTGTGAATCTAAGCAACCATGTTATGTTGCTCAACCTGTCCTTCAAAACTTGATTTCACTTTCAGCTCTAGATTGCTCACATTCTAGTACACCTTTCTTTGCTCCACCGAATTAATTGTTTCTACATGGCACATGGTTTTGTGGGGCCACTAATTGAACATGTTCATGTGACAATTATACAACACTTGGATCCTTCAATATGACCCCATTGCATTTTCTAACTTGGAAACAAACTTCAAGTTCATATTTGTTATAAAAACTTGATGGCAAATTGGGTGTACTTTGGAAGATGCTTGTGTTTGTTACAGACATGAAACAGAAACCCGTTTGAACATGCCGAGTTTAAGATAGGATAAGAAATTGATTAAGCAGATTAAATGAATATAAAATATGGGGTGGAGAGAATACATCAAAAGAAATTCATTTACACTTTAAATGAACATAAGTAAAAAAATAATAATTAATTTGTAAATTCTAATGTTGGAATGCATTTGCAATACCTCAAATAATTGTGTTGAGTTAAGTTCAAATGCAATTCAAGGATGAATGTAATGAGTTTTTATTTTATTTTATTCTATTATCACTTATATCTTTCCCGTAAGATAATATTATTTGAACCAAATAATATTATTATGGATGACAAAATTCTTTCTCTTAATTAATGTAATTAAATCCAAAACTTAAACTCGAGATCATTAGTTAAATTAAAATAATTATATGTCATACAATTTCCGTAATTAGTTCTCAAATTAAAGTAAGGAATAATAACCTTTGATAAAAAAGAAGTTATTCCTAAAACCTATAAACATTGCACACTACATACATATAAATATTTTCGTATACATATTTTCTTAAATGTTTTTGTCCCTTAATTATATAGAAACCTAGTTAAAATGAAATGTATATATATCTAAAATAAATTATGAATATATTAGTCATAGATGTTTTATTTCATTTTTGTGAATTCGGAATGTTTCAAACTAAGAGTTAAGAGCTAATTTTTAAAGCTGCTGAAATTCATTCACGGAATTGATGCTCCTAAAAAATATTATTTCATGCACATACATATGAGCATCAAACCCTTTCATAGTTAAAGTGCATGGTCATCATTTAAAATGAATTCCATATTTTAGGAGGGGCAAATACTACTAGAGTGCAAAGCCATGAATGTTTATTTTCCAAACATTCAGGTAAGAGTGGTATGATTTCCACTTAAATTTTTACAACACTTTCTACAATAAGGAGAAAATGGGAAGAGAATAAAAAAAAAGGGGGAAGTATGAGATAAGATGAGAATGTAATAATGGAGATGAATAAAAAAATTTGTTGTGAAAATATGCAATGGGAATTTTTAATGAGAAATATTGTTGTTGGGATAAACAGATTGATCACAATCTGTTGGTTGTAGCAAGACTCTTGAAGGAACCTTTTTTGGTTGTCCAGAACTCTATTCCTTTTTTGTCTTGATTCTTTGTTTTTGGCCAATTTTTGTCATGATTCAACATATTTAGGCCCATTAAGAAGGCCCACATTAGGTCCTCTATGTCGGAGGGGATCCCTTTCCTCAATTTCTAACACACTTTTATTTTTGAATGGGACGTTACCTACTTATACATGACTATTGTTTAATTTCTTAGGAAGCAAGATGCCACATAATTAAGGGCACCTGTTGTTTTTGTCCCTTAAAAGTATCAAAAACTTCTTTAATCTTTGATTGTGATATGAGGCAATTGCTGACCATTGTTTTTTCTTCTTCTTTTCTTTTTTTTTTTTACAAGAAGAATATCTTTAAACAACAGTTAGTGGTTAATTTTATTGAGGTGTAAAAATTATTTGAAATGAATATTGCCACTTTAAACATTTTTTTTTGTACATATGATTAAAAATGCTACATATTTAAAGGACAAACTATGCCAACCTTTATTGATGTTAAGCATTGTTTTAAGAAGCTTATAGAAAAATTCATTGTTTTAAGAACATTATTTAAGAAATAAAAATAGAAATTTATCATTAAAAATGATATTAATGCACTTCTCTACGTACGGTGATTTTAGTTACATGCTTAATGTGATTCCTATTATTTTCTTGACTTCATTTTATTTGTCATTTAAGATAATGTTTGTATCTTATGAAGACAATTGTTATACCGTTTTCCATGATAAAATAATCTTATTAGACTAAAACAATAATTAATTACACTGTACAGTTGCAACAATATATCAACTGATGCATTTATCTCTTAAGGACATCATCAAAAAATTATAAATTTTATATTATAAAGCGACAAATAATTTAAAAACAGAGAAAAATATTATTCAATATCCTAAGGGCATTAGCTAAAGACTCGTGTGAAAGAGTAATATTTTCTTTTATCCGTAAAAAAAAAAAATATCATGAAGGAGTAATAACTTTTTCATATGAGGAGCATCAGATTCATCACCATGTTGGCAACTGGAATGCACGAGTAATCATTGATTATTCACTTCCACTGAAATATATGATGAATTAACCTCCAAATATTAAATATATACTACAATAAAATAGATTTTAGTAGCATTTAATATAGTTTTCAATAGTAATAA